GAATAAGCTTCTAGTAGTTAATTTCTTGGTCCACAAGCGTGAGTGACTCGTAATTGCGCGCTTTCGTTTAAGTACTATGCGAAGTCCCCCGGGGATAGCACGTGCCGATAAAACTGACTGTTTATCTTATTCTACATGCCGCAGCAAAATACATTTATCGACTTTAGTGTAGGTTCCAAGTTACAGATCAGTTGGACAAATATTCAATTAATGAGAAGCCGTGCAATTTACAGAGAATGTATGGGGATTTTGACCGCGTCCCCCAAAACAATACATTCTCTGTTAATTTGATGAAACTAGGTATATATACTGTTCAGCTAGTTTTTATCCAAACGTTTTGAAACTTGGTATATATACTAATTTTTGGGTGCCCTTTCATCTGGTGGGGTTTGTTTCGTGATTAGATCAATATTTCTTTGATTAGTGCCCAGTCCCCTGCGCAACGTCGAAATGGCCAATATATCCAATATTGACTGCACAAATTCAACGATCGTTGATAATCAAGAGACGGTGATCATGAGACCCCTTGACTAGCGATTACAAATAAGCCGTTGTCAATACACTATAGCTTAGTATATAGAATCCAGAATGTCAAACTCTAAAACCCCAAGAGTGCGSCACAGCATGGTCGGGGGTACACGTTCCCTTTTTCCACAGAGTGGTTTGGGTTTTCGTGTCCGGCTTGGCGCTAGAAACAATATCTGTAGAGAGTTTATAGCWWAAAACAATAAAGACTATCTGGGGCTGGCTGACCGACCTGCCCAAGCGTTAGTGTGTCGTTGTGTTGTATATGAGTAGTGAATTCAAAATATAAAATTTCCATCATTTTGGTGTGCTATAGTCCATGCTTTTTGGCCTAAATTCATCGAAATTCCTTGTTTATGGTGGGCTATAGTGCATGCATTTTGGTAAAAAATCAACGAAATTCCATAGTTTTGGATATAGTCAATGCATTCTGTTCAAAATTTATCGATTTTCCATCATTTTTTGGGCTATAGTCCATTCATTTTGTTCAAAATTCATCGATTTTTCATCATTTTGGTGGGCTATAGTCCATGCATTTTGCTCAAAATTCATCGAATTTCCATCATTTTGGTGGGCTATAGTCCATGCATTTTGCTCAAAATTCATCCATTTTCCATCATTTCGGTGGGCTATAGTGTATACATTTTGTTCAAAATTCATCGAATTTCCATCATTTTGGTGTGCTATAGTCCATGCATTTCGTTCAAAATTCATCGGTTTTCCATCATTTTGGTGGGCTATAGTCCATGCATTTTGTTCAAAATTCATCGATTTTCCATCATTTTGGTGTGCTATTGTCCATGCATTTTGGCCAAAGATCATCGATTTTCCATCATTTTGGTGGGCTATAGTCCCTGCATTTTGGTCAAAAATGATCGATTTTCCATCATTTTGGTGGGCTATAGTTCATGCATTTTGTTCAAAATTCATCGATTTTCCATCATTTTGGTAGGCTATATTTCATGCATTTTGTTCATTTTTGTGGGCTATAGTCCATGCTTTTTGGTCAAAATTCATCGATTTTCCATCATTTT